GGGTAGAAAAGAAACAAAAGCTGTATGAGGAGCGTGTCGCGGCAGGATGGGACGAAGAGTCAGCACGTCGAGGTGCATGGGGAGATGAAGATTATAAGCCGGAAGAAGGCGCTACCTGGGCATCCGCCACTGGAGCATGGGGAGCCAGCGCCAGCGGCACGCTCACCACGGGAGGATGGGGAACAGACAAACCCGACGAAGGGGAGCTCACGCAAGAAGAATTGGAGGAAGCTGAATGAGAGATGAAAGCTGAGCGCGGAGAAGAATCACCCCGTGTCGCCATTCCCCTCAGACGACCCCCACGCACTCGTGAACCCCCTCGCTCACCTCATCGCTGGAGTGATCCTTGGTCGGAGATTGAGGAGGGGAATATACCACCAACTCTTCTGCGGGACTCACTTGGTCCAATCTCCCGCCCAGATCCGTTCGCGCATTTCATTGAAGGCACCACAACCCCGCTCACCATCATCCCTGGCCGTGAATTTCTCGCGCTCTACCTCACAACGGCACCTGCAGAAGGGGAGACAACAGCAGAAGCAGAAGCAGAGGAGCCGGACAACGAAGCAGAACCAGGAGAAGAGGAAGAACCCCCACTCCAGATCCCGCAACTTACGGAAGAAGGAGTAGCGGAACACTACGCTCGCTACAAACGCACCTCCGGCATTCGCGCCGAAGATGACCTCTGGCACCAGCGGCTGGGCCACCCCTCGCGCCAGACCCTCGCTAACTGCCTCCGCGCTAAAGTTTTTTCCGCCAGGAGCACTGTTACGCCCCGACGGAACAGAACCGCACAACACCCCACACCCGATCACTTGCACTGTCTGCCCCACAGCTGCACTCTCCCACAGCGCCTATCCCTCTCTGGAGCCGAGCACCAACCGCTACAAGAAGCTGGAAAAAAGGTATACAGCGACTTCATCGTGCTCACCTTCGACGGCATCAACGGCGAGAAGTATACTCTCACCTTCATCGACGCCTACTCACGACACGTGTGGGTCGCCAACGTCGACGCTCGCTCCAAGGCTCCGAAAGTGTTCCGCATCTTCCTCGCGCACGCGCAGCGACAGTCAGGAAGGAAATTGAAGATCTGGCAGAGTGATGGGGCCAAGGAATTTCGCAGCAACGAGCTGGAAAGTGTTCTTGCCGAGAAGGGAATCAAGCATGAGATTTCTCTCCCCTACGCTCACCAGCAGCAAGGCGTCGCAGAGAGGGTCAAACGCACCCTCATGACAAAAGTCCGCGCCCTCATGAATCAGTCCGGCCTGCCAAAGAAGTTCTGGCCCTACGCCATGAACCACGCAGTGTGCCTGCACAACCTCCTCTCCACCACCGCCAACAGGGACAACCTGTCCCCTCACATGAAGTGGACCGGCTCAAGGGGAGACCCGTCCATGCTGAGGTTTTGGGGGTGCATGGTGCAGTACCGGCCGACCTCGGCCACAATCGGCAAGTTCGTTCAGCGCGCGCGCTGGGGAATCCACCTGGGGCTCAGTCATGAGCACAAAGGGTGGCTTATCCTTGACATTAACAGCAAGGAGGTTGTTCCCGCGCGTGACATTCTTTTCTACGAGCGGCTCACCTTGAAGCAGTGGATCGAGGACGAGCGACGCAACGAGGCACGCGGCTACGTCAACAGCGGTCGCAGCTTTGCGACTCCAGAAGACGAAGCAGCAGCAGCAGCACTGGACCGCACGACACCGACGAACACCCCAGCATCCCGCCTCGTCCGCGCGACGACAACGACGATGACAGTGACGATGACCCCGCGCCAGGGCCGTCACGGCGCCAAGCAGAGCCAAGCACCACAGCGCCCGGCTACGAAAGCGGAGACGACGACGTGGTGGAAGTCTCAACAAACACAGACACCACCAATGTGTCAGGCCTTCAACTTCTCGGCCTGCACACGTCCGTCACTTCCCTCGCACGGGCCGTGGAGCCCAAGAACCCTCGCCAGGCCCTAACCGGCCCTCACGCCAAGGAGTGGCGCGCCGCGATGGATGCAGAACTAAAGGCGCTGGAGTCTAGAGACACATGGGTCCTAGTCGATCGTGCAGCAGTGAAGGGGAGGAGGGTACTCAGCGGAAAATGGGTTTTTTCGCCTGAAGAATAATGCTAACGGCACCATCGAGCGATTCAAGGCACGCTGGGTCGTACGTGGGTACGATCAGCGCCACGGCATCGACTTCGACCAAACCTTCGCTCCTGTTAGTCGTCACACCTCCGTCAGAATTCTACTTGCCATTGCCACCGGTAAGCACCTACCACTACGACAGATCGACGTGAAGAACGCGTTCTTATACGCGTTGGTGGACGCTACCATCTTCGTGGAGCAGCCTCACACCTACGGAGAAGGGGATCCTAGGGTCTGTCAGCTGAAGAAGTCCCTCTATGGGATCAAGCAAGCGCCTCGTCTCTGGCAGCAGCAATTCTCCTCGAGATCGGTTTCAAGCGACTGCCGCACGACCCGGGAATGTATCGCCTTCACTTCAGTGGCGACTACATCCTCCTGACAGTCTACGTCGACGACCTGCTGTACACGAGCACCTGCAACAAGCTCCTTAACCAGTTTGAGGAGAACCTGGCGCAGCGCGTGGACATCACCATCAACCACAGTGTGAAGCAGTTATTGGGCCTGAACATCACCTACGCGCCAGAAGCAATTCACCTGTCAGCCTCCAAGTACGCAGAGCAGCTGGGGGAACGCTTCAACATTTCGCCCGCACCACTCTCAACTCCCTACCGCAACCCCAGCGCCAACTACAAACCGGATAACAAACCTCTATCGCCCTCAGGACTCCAAATGTACCAACAGAAACTGGGATGCCTGCTATTCGCCTGCGTCACCTGCCGACCCGTCCTTTCGTACATCGCCAGCCAACTGGCGCAGTACTCCCGCAAGCCAGTAGCTGAGAACCAGCTGGACCTGGAGAGCGCCCTGCAGTACTTCATCTCCACACCTGACATTGGGCTCTCCTACTCCACGCTGACGACGACCTCCTTCAACCTCAACGGCTACGTGGACGCAGATCATGCAGCTGACCCTGCAAATCGACGGTCCCGAACCGGGTTCGTTTTTCGCCTGGAACCAACTGGGCCAATCTCCTGGAACTCGCAGAAGCAGGAGCTGGTTGCCTTGTCATCAGCTGAAGCAGAATACATCGCCGCGACAGCAGCAGTTCGCGAAGGCCTGTACCTGCAGGAGCTGCTATAGGAGGCGAAAATTCCAGCCTCGCCTACCTTTCGCCTTCACTGTGACAACCAGAGTGCCATCAGGATCGCGAACAAACCAGGTTTCGTGAACCGCACGAAGCACATCGCACTTCGGTACTTTTTCGTCAAGGACGAAATTGACCAAGGGAAGGTTGACCTCGCCTACTGCCCGACTACTGAGATGGCAGCAGACTCCTCACCAAGCGTCTGCCACGTCAGCAGTACAAGCACTGATCTAACCTCACCGGAGTAGTCAAGCGAGTCAGCTCCTCCTGCGCCCAGGAATGAAGGGGAGTGTTACGATATGAAGTTTTATGAGAAGGCATTTCTGTATGCTGCAGGAGCCGACTCTACCGAGTACGAAGTCGAGGAGTCAGAAGAGTCGAAGCGACGCAGCAACCGTCTGACCAAGACCGATGCAGGCAGAAACATTTGAAGTGGAAAGAGCGGGAACATGTTTGAAACGGGTTCCCACGCCGCACGGTTTGAATTTCGCTGTAATAAGGGAATGTACCCCTTAGGGTACATGGCTAGTCTAGGTCTTTTCGTATTCCCCTGCATTCTTATATAAACCGGATGTATGCATGCTTTTATCAACTGAGCCATTTACATTCACTCTGACCTGAGATTCAAAACTTCCGCTGCAATACTACTCTGCGATCAACCCTGAGCGATCCTTCGCTAAGTCCCATTTGGGATTGTAACAGCTTTGATAATAACGGGAGAATCAGCTGACCATATACATCGGACATAATAGTATACGTTTCAGTAATATTGCATAATGTGATTATAAGGGCAAATGAATGTGTAGATTCTTACCTATTTGTAAGGCACCACCTAAGTGTACTATAAGCTCAATGCCTAATGTTAGCTGCTCAAAGCAACTGACGACAGGCAAACAGCTTCACTCTTCGTGCTCCTCCGTCTGACACGCATTTTCAATCTGACACGCATTTTCAATGTCAACTCTCATCTCGACCGTCAGCAGATTCACGTCCAGCCATCCCCAACCCGACCTGGCTCTGCTTTTCCCCATTGCTCGCTCGCGACTCGTCACGTTGGGTTCGCCAACAACCCTCCTCCAACCCTCGTGCCAACAGCCCTCGGCTGGGCATGGTAAAGCCCTACTCATGCTCTAGATAGTCCTCAGCACGACATGGTCTAGGCCATGATTGTCGTCAGGTAAGTCTGGATTGGCTGAAGTCTCCTCTCGTTAGCGAGTCCGCCATTTTTTGTTACCCTACAACTCAGGCTTGGACTTTCTGGTCGATTTTCGAGTCGTCAAAGAAACGTTGGCTTTCAGTTGTCTGCTTTGTCATGTTACATACGACTCGCATAGCGACATCACTTGGTGCACCCAGATTTTCCAGCACAAGCTATTTTTAGGTGTTTTCTCAATTCGACTCGTCCTCGTCAGGATTCTCAAGGCCAACAATAAGGCAACCCTGTCTTTACGAACTCTGTCAGAGACACGTGCTAGTAGGGGTGTTACGAGGACCCGGTATAGAGTAGGCAAGCGGACTGTCGAAGACGTATCAGGCCTTAAAAGGCTGCCGAGCGCCTCGGGATAGAGTGGAGGCGTGGGGAGTAGTTATCGCTGTGTGATCGAGTCGTCTCAAAACTCATATTGTCGGAGAAGGGTGGAGGCGTTGCCAGGGAGGCTAACAGATAACCTCGCGACGGGGCAACGGAGAAGGGTGATGGATTTGGAACGAGGAGCGCAGATGTGGCTGCTGCTGCTGCTGGTCACAGCGTCGCATTGGAGTTCAAGAGCTCACGCCAAGACCGTCATGGGAGACGGTAGGTTTCTCTGGTTGACATTCAGCTCGTCCTCTGGTTGATATCGCTGTAGTCCGTTATATTCCGTGTGTTGCAACGCGCGCATCTGATCTGGCTGCTGCACTGCCCGTGTGCCACGACACCACACCACGCTCGTGTGTTCATTCAGAAATCACTTTGCCGCCAATGCAACAGAAAGAAAATACTGGCACGTATGCAGCCGACGCATTCACGAAATCACCCTCAACTGGCGTATGCACTTCGGAATTTCGAAATCGAGTCTACTCCCCCAGGCCTCCCTCTCCCCCTCCCCCCTCCCCGTCTCCCCCTTCTTCCTCATCCCCTCTTTCCCCACACGCCGACATTGGTCGACCAGCATACGCACTGTAGCCGTTCAAGTTACCCATGAATGACGCGTCGGTGGTGACGGACTGGCAGAGGCCCTGCTGTATGGTTTCCACCCCACGTCCCCACACCTCGTTTTTCCCGTATCCCTCTATCTCCCACTCACTCCAACCACCAATGTCGCCGATGCAGGTGTATAAGCTCTCCGGGAGCAATACATCGGCCTGGAGGGCTTGTGTCAAACCACAAATCTGAACCCACTTTCCGTTTTTCTTGTATGATTGCTAATTTCTTCTCACCCACCCACTTCCTCACTCCAACCACCAGTGTCCGCGCTGCAGGTGTTCAAGCTCTCTGTGAGCAACGCTTCGGCTTTGGCGGACTGGGAGGGCTTCGAGCCGTGCAAGAAGGAGTGGTTCGGCGTGAACTGCGGGGAGTCGACGCGGTCGAAGCATCGATGGGCCGTTGTCTCGATGTAAGTTGCTTCGGTGCAGTTCCGTTTAGGCGTAGACAGTTTTAATCGACTAGCAGGTCGACTTGCGGGGAGTCGAAGTTGGAGTCGTGCAAGAGTTGGTTCGGCGACCACTGCGGTTCGTCATCGCGGTCGTATCGCCGACGGGCCATCGTCCCCACGGCAAAACCGCTGCGAGGCCTTATCGCGGCATATGCTGTGTAATCAGAGTGCTATCTTTGAGAAAACGTTTCCGCGAAATGACTAGCAGTCTGACCGTTTCACCAGCTTGCATAACCTCCTGATCCCCCCCCTTCTCTCTCTTCTCCATCCGCCCCCCTCCTCACCCAGTCTCCTCCCCTCGCACTCTTCCCCTTGGCCCTCTCCCCACAAACCCCACCATCTCCCCACCTCTCCCACTACCCCCCCCCCTTTCCCCCTTCCACCCCCCACACTCTTTTCTGCAGAGAGCTGCCGAACTGCAATCTGGGAGGGGAGATCCCGGAGGCGATCGGCGACCTCGTGGAGCTCACGAAACTGTAAGGCTATATGACATAACTACTCCCCTTTGTTATTGTACATTGAGGATAAAATGTCCTTTCTGTTCAGATTCCGGTTGGCTCGTTGTCTCTTTTTTTCTTTCGACTCATCCTCTTACGTCATTGCCGCGTCCCCCCCAATCCTACAGTGATCTGCGAAACAACAATTTCACGGGGCTGCTTCCCGCGTCGCTCAGCCGCCTGACCGCGTTAGAGTCACTAGACGTTTCGGGAAACCCGTTCGAGGTCGCACCTTCCACGAACCTTACCGCCGGCGCGCCTCCCCCGCTGACGTCAGACCCCATCTCAATAATACCGGAGCCAGACGCCCTGGGCCCGAAAATTCCGGGGCTGGTTAAGACAGGAAGAAAGAAGGGCTCGGGAAGGAAGGGACGCGGGAAGAAGGGTCGAGGAGGGAAGGCAGGCAAAAGGGGGAATTCTACTGCTGAGCCGCCTGCTGCTGAGCCCCCTACGACAAAGCCTTTGCCGGCTGCCAAACCGCCAACCGTCAAGCCATTGCCGGCAGCCAAGCCGCCGGCCGTCAAGCCGCCTGCCGTCAAGCCGCCTGCCGTCAAGCCGCCTGCCGTCAAGCCGCCTGCCGTCAAGCCGCCAGTTGGGACGATCCCGCCAAGAAGCAGTCCAGATAAAGTGCGCCTTCCCGCTGTTCCTCTAGAGCCGCCTACAGACGACTCCCCCGATAGTAGCCCCGTCCCCAGTACAACCCGCTCTCCGTCGCTACCGCCTAAATCCGTGTCTGCGCCTTCCGACGAGACCGCCTCTCCGCCGCGTTCAGCAGCCGGCGAAACGAAGACGCCGGCTATAGAAGTTCCGCCGGACAATGCGGGGTCCACGAGCAGCGATAGCAGTGACAGCAGCAGCGGCAGTGACAGCAGCAGCGGCAGCAGCAGCAGTGACAACAGCACTGCATCGTTGGGCGACTCCTCTCTCGCCTCTACCTCCTCTTCCTCCCCGTCCTCCTCTTCTTCCCCTCCTCCTGCCCCTGCCGAGTCGCCGTCCACCAATGGCATTGCGCTATACGTGGGCATAGCGGCGGGCGTGGTTGTCGCGTTCCTGTTGGGCGTCGCGCTCGTGCTGCTCTACATCTACCTGCGGCGCCGCCGCGCGGAGACCAAGGACTTTGCGCCGATTAAAGACGTCGCGGCGGGCGCGGACGGGCGGGGGGGGGATTACGGGACAGCTGGCGCGGTTGCCGGGGGGGGATATGCGGGGAAGAGGGGAGGTGGTGGAGTGTTTGGAAGGCTATGGCCAGGGACTGGAAAGGTGGCTGATCTTGGTGAGTACTTCTTCTTTTGTATTGTTTTTGTTTTTTTATGGTTTTTGTTTGTTTGTTTGTTTTTTTCCTTGAATTCCAGTCTATTGTGTATTACGGGCTGACTCCTACTGTTTCTAGTCTCGTCTGTCCTTTACTGGTTGTGCACTTTATTGTTGTATTTTGGGCTCCTATAGCTTGCGCTTTCAAGTAGGCGGTTACTCTCTATCCGCGTGTCTCGTTCTCCCCTTCATCCGTCTCCCCCCTCCTTTCGTCTCCCCCCTCCTTTCGTCTCCCCCTCCTTCCCTCTTCCGCCTGCGCCTTTTTCCGCCCACTCTTTCCCCTTCCCCCCTTCCTTCCCCCCCACTTCCCCCCCCCCCCCCTCCTCCCCCTTCTATCCCCACCCTATCACTACAGGCACAGTATCTGCCTATCAGCAACAAGCTCACGCCCCTGCCGCTCCGTCCGCCGCGGTTCCCGCTCACGACCATGGCGCGAATCTCCTTCCCCCGCACGACCCCTCCGCCATGATTCCGCACAGCGGGGCGTCGAACCACAGCGGCTGGGGCGCCGCAGTCAGCGCCGTGCATAGCGGTGTGAACAGCGCCGCGCACAGCGGCGTGCAAAGCGTTACCGTGGAAGGCGGCGCGGTGTCACCGTACGCGCCAGCCTCGGCGTACGCATCAGCTGCCGAGCCTGGCAGCAACATGTCGAGCCAGTTCCCAAGCCGCACTCCGAGCCAGACGCCGAGCCAACCGATGAGCCACGTGGCAGGCCCGGGGCTAGCAGCGGCTATAGCCGCGGAAGCGGGGGGCGGAATTGGCGGAGGGGAAGGGGGAAGCGGAGGAGCTGGGGGAGGATATGCGGCTCATAGTAGCAATAGCAGCGCGCAGACGCCTGGGGCCTCTGTGGGGTCTTTGAAGTCGGGGCGCAATATGGCGGAGTATAGGCTGATGCTGCCCGGGCGGAGCCTGAGCAACACGGTGATGGAGTTGACGTATGAAGATGTCCTGGTGAGTGCTCTGGTGGGTCGTTACAAGATGTCCTGGTGAGTGGTCTGGTGGGTCGTTACAAGATGTCCTCGTGAGTGCTCTGGTGGGTCGTTACAAGATGTCCTGGTGAGTGGTCTGGTGCAGGGAGTTACAAGTCGCCAAGGGACGGCATATGGCGGACGTTAGACTTGTGAGTTGCTGAGTGGTCCATTGAATGTCGAGGGACGGCTTATAACGAGTCGCAGTGATTGGGTCGGGCGGGTTTAGACGCGTTTACTATGGCAGGCTGGAGGGGGTCAACCATAGCTGACTTCCTCCCTCCCCCTTCCCCCTTCCCCCTTCCCCCTTCCCCCTCTGTTCTTTCCCTCCAGGGAGCAACGGACAACCTGGCAGAGGCGAACGTGATTGGGTCGGGCGGGTTTGGGCGCGTGTACTGCGGAAGGCTGGCGGGGGCTGGCGTGGCGGTGAAGGTGCTGGAAGCGGGGAGCAGTCAGGGCGACCGAGAGTTCCAGGCCGAGGTGAGGCGATAGGTTAGGAGTTTGGGGTTTGGTCCTGGGATTTTGGGCTTTAGGCCTGGATTGCGATCAGGAGTTTCAGGCACAGATGAGGCACAGGTGAGGCACAGGTCATGCCATTGTGTACCTCTCCCCAACGTGCAACCTTATCCGCCATCCCCCGTCTGTTGATCTTGCAGCAGGTGGAGTTGTTGATTGAGTCGGCTCAGGTCGTCCCATCTGGTGCATCTGGTGGGCTACTGCATGGCAGGGGGGAGCAGGGTGCTGGTGTACAATCTCATGTCTCTCCTCCCTCTCCTCCTTCTCTTCCTTCCCCTCCTTCCCATCCTCCCCATCTCCCTTCCCTTGTAGGTTGAGCTGCTGAGTCGGCTCAGGTCGCCGCATCTGGTGCATCTGGTGGGCTACTGCATTGCAGGGGGGAATAGGGTGCTCGTGTACAATCTCATGGCGAATGGGAGCCTGAGCGACTTGCTGCATGATAACAGCAGTGATGGTGAGTGTGGAATGATAAGTGTTATGGGTATATAGGATGTTTTACACGTGTTATAGAGTGGTTTGGAGAGCAATATATTTCTGGTGCACAACCTCTTGCACAATGACTGTGATGGTGAGGTTGAGATAACAAGTGGTTCTCGCCTCCCATGTTAAAACTTCAACAGAGGCAACTCGCTTCTTCCATCTCCCTTTTGTCCCTTTCCACCGATTTTTGTTTTCCCCCCCCCTCCTTTTTTTTCCTGCCTCTTTTTTCTGGGCCTTCTCCCCCTTCCAGGAAGCTTCATGCAGCGGTTTGGGAGGGAGAGGCCGCAGGTGGAGTGGCAGCAGCGCATGCAGATCGCTCTGGACGCCGCCCGCGGGCTCATGTTCCTGCACCACGCCGCCACCCCCGCTGTCATTCACCGCGACTTCAAGAGCAGCAACGTTCTGGTGGACCACGAGTGAGTCCGCTGCTGCTGCTGCTGCTTGCAGTGCGAGGTGCCTGGTTGACAGGTGAGTCCTTGGTGTGTGGCAACTGCTAGGGGGCTCATGTGCGGATGGGCTCATGTGCGGATGGGCTCATGTGCGGATGGGCTCATGTTCCTGCAGCACATCGCCAACCCCGCTGCCATTCACCGCGATTTAAGTAGCAGCAACGTGCTGGTGGGCCACGAGTGAGTGGGCTGGGCTGCTGCACAGAAATGCTCAGGTGGTTCCTATCTGGACACCGCACAGCGACTCATGTTCCCGCATGCACCACGTCGCCAACCCGCCAGTCATTCACCGGAATTTGGGGCTGGGTTGGCTTGGGACGGCCCCAGTGGGGACGAGACTCACGTCACCACGTGTCCCTTTCTCCTTCCTCGCTCCCCTTCTCGCCCCCCTTTTCCCCTCCCCTTGCATCAGTTTCCCTGCACGCATTGCTGGCTTTGGGCTGGCTCAGGACGGCCCCAGTGGGGACTGAGTCTCACAGCACCACATAACCCTTTCCTCCATGCGTTTCCTTCCCCTGACCCTCACAGCTTCCATGCGCGCATTGCTGATTTTGGGTTGGCTCGGGATGGTCCCAGTGGGGAGAAGCGTTGGGTGTCGACACGTGTACTGGGCACCACAGGTTACTTGTCCCCAGAGTGAGTAATATCCGAGGGTGAATCACCTTAAGCACCGCCAAGGGAAATTTACCCTGAGCACCCTAACGTACATTGGCCTCTCACCCTTGGAGGGATTGGTGGGAAGAAGCTGTGGGTGTCCATTCGAGTGTTGCACACCACAGGGGTGCCTAGAGTGAGTTGTAAGGGTAGAATACTCTCACAGGTCGCTTGACCCCCAAGGCAGACGTGTACTCGTTTGGCATTGTGCTGCTGAAGCTACTTTTGAGAATTCTCAAAAGTAGCACCAATATTGCATTGTGCTGCTGGAGCTGCTCCCAGGGCTCGTGCCGTCCGACCTCCCATGCTCCTTTTGCCCCTCTCTGTTCCCCCCTCTCTGTTCCCCCCTCTCTGTTCCCCCCTCTCTGTTCCCCCCTCCCTCGACCTCATCAGATATGTTACCACCGGTCGCCTGACCCCCAAGTCAGACGTGTACTCGTTTGGCATCGTGCTGCTGGAGCTGCTCACAGGGCTCGTGCCCATCGACCACGACAGACCTCCCAATAGAGTCTCCCTCACTTCCTGGGTGAGTCATAGTGATGTGATGCTATAGGGGGGAGGAAGGGGGGGAAAGGAGATGGGAGGGGGCAGAAGGTGCTGCTGGAGCTGCTCACAGGGCTTGTCCCCATGGACCACGACAGGCCTCCGTACAGAGTGTGGTGTGGCTGACGCCGTGGGTGAGTCGTTGTGACAAAGAGGGAGGTTGGGGGAGAGAGGAAGGGGCTGCTGTTATCGCGACTTGTCCCTGTCTCACTACCACCCAGCCGTCCTCAGCCGTTGATGCCTTCACTCAAGAATATAAAGTACTCACTACCTTGCTCCCTTGCCTCTCATTTCGACTCGTGCCTCTCTACCACCCAACCTCCCCACCTCCTCGTGCCTCCCCACCTCCTCATGCCTGCCCATCTCCCCCCAACAGGCGCTGCCGCTGCTGACGCAACGGGAGAGGCTGGGAGAGCTGCTGGACCCGCGTCTGGATGGGACTGTTCCCCTGCACGAGTTCATGCAGGTGGGTGGCATGTGGGCAGCTGGTGGGTGGGGACTTGATGCCTGTGGCGGTTGCATAGGGGCAAAGAAGCGTAGAGATATGCAGGGCATGGTGCACATAGGAGTGCAGGGCATGGTGCACATAGGAGTGGGGCGCGCCTTCCCCCGTTCACATAGGACTGCACCTTCCCCCGTTCACGAGTTGGTACCGTCTATTTCTTTCAACCCGCCCGGCCCTGCTTATTCCACCCCACAGTCCAGGCGGAGTCACTGGCAGCGGTGTGCGTGTGCGTGCAGGCACTCCCAGACTACAGGCGCACATGGACCATGTGGTGCAGTGCCTCATGCCGCACATGGACCATGTGGTGCAGTGCCTCATGCCGCACATGGACCATGTGGTGCAGTGCCTCATGCCGCACATGGACCATGTGGTGCAGTGCCTCATGCCGCACATGGACCATGTGGTGCAGTGCCTCATGCCGCACATGGACCATGTGGTGCAGTGCCTCATGCCGCACATGGACCATGTGGTGCAGTCCCTCATGCCGCACATGGACCATGTGGTGCAGTCCCTCATGCCGCACATGGACCATGTGGTGCAGTCCCTCATGCCGCACATGGACCATGTGGTGCAGTCCCTCATGCCGCACATGGACCATGTGGTGCAGTCCCTCATGCCGCACATGGACCATGTGGTGCAGTCCCTCATGCCGCACATGGACCATGTGGTGCAGTCCCTCATGCCGCACATGGACCATGTGGTGCAGTCTCTCATGCCACACATGGACCATGTGGTGCAGTCCCTCATGCCGCACATGGACCATGTGGTGCAGTCCCTCATGCCGCACCCCTATTCCTTCCTCCTTCCCGTGCGTTCCTCCCTCCCTGCTGCTCCCGTCCACAGCAGGCGATCGCGGTAGCAGCAGCGTGTCTGGAGGCACATGGACCACGTGGTTCAGTCCCTCATGTGTCTGGAGGCACATGGACCACGTGGTTCAGTCCCTTGTGTGTCTGGAGGCACATGGACCACGTGGTTCAGTCCCTCATGTGTCTGGAGGCACATGGACCACGTGGTTCAGTCCCTCATGTGTCTGGAGGCACATGGACCACGTGGTTCAGTCCCTCATGTGTCTGGAGGCACATGGACCACGTGGTTCAGTCCCTCATGTGTCTGGAGGCACATGGACCACGTGGTACAGTCCCTCATGTGTCTGGAGGCACATGGACCACGTGGTTCAGTCCCTCATGTGTCTGGAGGCACATGGACCACGTGGTGCAGTCCCTCATGCCTCCACCCTTCCCCCTTCCTTGCCCCCTGCCCATCCCTTCACTAGGCTGCATCGATAGCAGCAGTGTGTGTCCTGGCATGCCCAGACTCGCACACGGACGGATGAGGTTGGATCCAGACTACTATCCCCTTCCTCTCCCTCTACATCATCCAACACACCAGGCTGCGTCAGCGGCAGCAGTGTGCGTGCAGGCAGACCCAAACTACCGGCCCCTCATGGATGATCTGGTGCAGTCCCTCATGCCGCTCTGCAAGGCTGCCATCTCGCCTCCTCATCCCCCACCCTCCCTTGCTTGCCCCCATCCCCTCTCTGCCTCCCTTCACCAGGCGGCCTCTGTAGCAGCAGTGTGCCTGCAGGCCGACCCAGACTACAGGCCGCACATGGATGACGTGGTGCAGTCCCTCATGCCGCTCTGCAAGGCTGCCATCTCGCCCTACGCCTCTCCCGCCCAGTCCAACCACTCCTCCCTTAGATGACACCCCCACTCCCACTCATTCCCCTTGCGCCATCACACTCTGCGTGCTTCTCATCTCTGACCTAGCCTGCCTGCTCGCCCTACAGCCTCCCCCTCCCAGTCCAACCACTCGTCCCTGAGATGACAACCCCACTTGTTCCTCAGCCTCACCCCTCGTCCTCTCAACACTCACTCAAGCCTCCTGCCTGTTGATTACCATGCCGCTCTGCAAGGCTGCCAGCTCGCCCTCTGCCTCCCCTGCCCAGTCAAACCACTCGTCCCTGAGATGACACCCCGTTTGTGCTTCACTCCCATTTTCACCACTGATAACCACCCTCTTACCCCACTGCTCAATCCCACTGATCACCATCCCACACTCTAAGCCTCTGCTCTCTCCTTGAAGCCTGCCTGCTCGCCCTATGCCTCTCCAGCCCAAGTCCAACCAAGTCCCTATGTACACCCCACTTGCACCAACCCAGTGACATGTTCCCACCGCTGTCGTCGGCCTAAGAAGATGACAAGTGTATTATGGATATCAACAGGGAAGGTTTCAAACAAAGTTGGCTGCAAATTGATGAATAAAAAAAGGAAGCGATTTGATACTATCAATGTTAGAACAGTGTCAAATTGCAATTGTATGTATTAGGTTGCAGTGGGGCATACTTTAAGGGGTACAACACTTTAGGTCAACCCTAGTACTTGTACTCATCCTTGCTTTCTAGTCAATCATTCTTGCTCATTGATTCTGACATGGTTTCAGGTTCGTAGGATCGTTTTTATTTAGGGCCCACCACTCGTTCTTCCCTGCCCGTTTACCGCACTGCCCGGTAGCGTGCGCACTGTCCATCCAGCGCGTCCCGCCGCTGTCCACTGTGCCAGCGCGTCCCGCTGCCCAGCACGCTGTCAGAAACTAACGAGCAGGAATGACTGCATTGAATGAGTTGTGGGTACAAGTGCTAACCCTAACATTGGGTTGTACCCCATATAGAACTAGCACAGATATAGTTTGACACACCCCCATAGGCAAAGTGGGGGAGAACAAGAGGTCACATGACCAGTCAAGAAAATCAAAGCAAGCTCAGGGTGGATCACAACGTCACCACACACTCGGAGCACAAGCAAAGGGCCACAAGGCCAGTCCACATGCAGAGGTATATATGCAACAACAACAGTACAGTGATCACTACCTAACAGAAGTAGGCATGCAGGTATACAATATAGATAACAGTACAAGCAAAGTTAAGAGGTGAGCAAGTGAGGCCAAGTAGGCACAAGTCCTAGCACAGTACAGAACCGCTGATGATCACAAGGCTGAAGTGCCTTGGTGAAGATATCAGCGGTGTTGGCCCGAGAGGCCATGTAAGCAAGACGAAGCTGTCCACGCTGCTGCAACTCTCGAACAAAGAAGTAACGCAGAGCTATGTGCTTCGTCCAGTGCTCCAGTCTGTGCTCCTGACACAAGGCAATCATGGCCTTGTTGTCGACGTACAGAACTGGAGGAGAACGAGGCGGCTCTCCCAAGTCGGTCAGCAGGTAGGTGAGCCAGCGTAACTCCTGTGCAGCCATGGCCCCTGCGTAGATCTCAGCCTCACAACTGGAACTGAGAACAGAAGACGAGCGGGTAGACCGCCAAGAAACAGAACCGGAGCCAAGACTGAAGGTGTAACCCTGTGACGACCGCTGCGTAGCCAAGTCGTCAGCCCAAGAAGCGTCTGCGTGACCAGTGAGGACAACTCGAGCCCGTCCTCCAAGCACGAGCCCCATGCCCGACGTACTGCACAAGTAGCGCATCACCCTCTTAGCGGCCTCCCAGTGCTCTGGTCGGTGTCTCTCGGGCGCAACGTAGCGTGCCAGGATGCTAAGAGGGTAAAGCAAGGTCAGGACGAGTGCAGGTCATCAGGTACATGCGGCAGCCCACAAGCTCTAGATACGGGCCACTCGGCTCTACGGACTCATCCGAAGGCAGAGCTGAGAGCGAGTGACCGGTAGGCAGAGGAGTGGACTGTGGCGAGGAGTACGTGAAGCGGAAGCGCTGAAGGACCTGTTGCACCATGTGTGACTGAGTCAGGGTAATGGTGCGGTGTGCTCTGTCCCGGGTGATCTGCAAGCCAAGATAGCTGCGCAGCTCTCCCAAGTCCATGCACGTGTGTCTCTTCTGCAGCTCCGACTTCACGTGGGCAAGTCCCTCAGTGTCAGTAGAGACAAAGACCAAGTCGTCGACGTACACGAGGATGTAGAACGATGGTAGCGAAGTGTCGGTGCGCAGAAACAGCGACGGGCCAGCAGTCGAAGGAGTAAACCCAAGGGCCGCAAGTGTCGTCCTCAGTGTGTCGTGCCACTCGCGAGGCGCCTGACGGAGACCGTAGACTGGCCGCCAGAGGCTCCACTGGGTACCTGCAGGAAACGACCCAGTGAAGCCAGGTGGGCGGCGTAGCCAGATCTCCTCGTGCAGGCTGCCCTGTAGGAAAGCTGTGCTGAAGTCAAGAGAGTGAAACTCGTAGTCACGCTGAGCGGCGACGTGCAGCAGAACCCGAAGAGTGGTCATCTTCGGGGTAGGGGAGAAGGTCTGGAAGAAGTCAACTCCCTGTCTCTAACTGAAGCCTCGTGCAACGTAACGTGCCTTGAAGACAGGCGGAGAACCCGGCGGCCGCTTCACCCTAAAAATCCACATGCCACTGACGATGTTCGCCCCAGGTGGGGGAATAGCGTCGACGTAAGTGCCTGTAGACTTCCAGGATGCCATCTCTGCATCCATGGCTGACTGCCACTAAGAGGAGTAGGGACACTCAATCGCCTCTGCGTAAGAGCGCGGGGTCGGGATGTCTGGTGCATCCGGGTCTCCCTCAGGTGCAATCAGCATGGACATGAGATGAGGTACAGCAGCTGCAAAGCACTCAAAGTCCTCCTGCCTGTCCTCAAGGACGTCCGTGCCAAGAGCACACTCACCCCCGACGGACGGAGGACAGACAGACACAGACTCAGCAACAAGACTAGTGGCGTAGTCTAGACGAAAGGGAGCAGCAAAGTCGACAAGCTCAGCAACTAGGGCAGACGTAGCAGTGGACTCAAACGAAGGGTCAGTGATAGCAGTGGCGAGGAGTCGGGTGACAGTAGGGCTGGCAGCATGAGCTAAGTGAGACTCAGGGTCCAGAACGTGCGGAAGAGAGGACGCAGGAGGAGACGGCAGGGGAACACGCCGTGGAACAGAGGAAGGACGAAGTGCCATAGTGTGCGTGCTTGGGACAGGAGGAGGACGCTCATGAGGAACACGACGACCAGTGCGACCAGCGCAAACAGGTGAGGCTCACGACGCTCTGTAAGCGAGTCTGTCTGCTCAGTGTAAGGAGATGGAGCACGTAGTGGAGAGCCTGGCTGTAACGGGAGGCCAGTAGAAGACGGGAGGCTAAGGACCTGGCGAAGCACGGAGTCAGGCGGTGGCAGAGACGACAGTGACGGCGGAGCGAAGAACAGTCGCGGCTATGCAGTACCACCAGCACCAGTACCACCAGCACTAGCACCTCCAGCAGCAGCAGAACCTCCAGCTCCAGCGCCTCTAGCTCCAGCGCCTCCAGCTCCAGTACCTCCAGCTCCAGGGTCTCCAGCTCCAGTGCCTCCAGCACCAGCGCCTCCAGCTCCAAAGCCCGCAGCACCACCAGCTCTGGCAGCTCCAGCACCTCCAGGACGAGCACCAGTAGCACCAGCTCCTCCAACAGCTCCATAACCTCCAGCCCCAGGGCCTCCAGCAGCAGCACCCCCAGAACCGGCACCTCCAGCTCTAGGGTCTCCTACTCCAGGGTCGACAAGACCAGCTCCAGAGCCTCCAGCTCCAGGGCCTCCAGCAGCAGCACCCCCAGAACCGGCACCTCAGCTCCAGGGTCTCCAACTCCAGGGTCGACAGCACCAGCTCCAGGGCCTCCAGCTCCAGTGCCCCCAGCAGCAGCACCCCCAGAACCGGCACCTCCAGCTCCAGGGTCTCCAACTCCAGGGTCGACAGCACCAGCTCCAGGTCCCCCAGCTCCAGTGCCTCCAGCAGTAGTACCCCCAGAACCGGCACCTCCAGCCCCAGGGTCTCCAGCTCCAGCGCCTCCAGCTCCAGTGCCTCCAGCTCCGGCAGCGCGACTCCGAAGGCGGGTGCGCGAAGCAAGCTACTCGCGCAACTGCTGCGGCGAGAGAGGTGACCTCTGCAACGCGGCGTCAGGAGGACCTCCAGCAGACTCAGCATCCCTAAGCTCAGCACCAACAGACTCAGTACCCCCTGGGCCAGCACCTCCAGCTCCAAGGTCTCGAACTCCAACGCGCGGATCTCCAGCTCCAGTGCCTCCAGCACCACGGACCCCGGCAGCTCGAGTACCTCCGGTACGAGCACCTCCAGGACCCTCAGCGCCAGCACCCCCAGCGCCTCCACGACGAGCAGCTCCAACAGCTCCAACCGCAGCACCTCGAGCAGCAGAACCTCCAGCACCAGCAGCACGACTCCTCAAGCGGGTACACCACGCCAGCCACTCTCGTAGCTGGTGTCGTGAGAGAGGCCCCCGTCGTGAAGAGAGACCCCTAGACTCAGCACCCTCCGGCTCAGCACCCCCAGGCTACGCACTCGTAGGCTCAGCACCCCCAGGCTCCGCACCCCCCAGCACCTCACGCACAGGCTCAGCACCCCCAGACACAGTACCCCAAGCAGCACCACCCGCAGCAGCACCTGATTCGCTAGTGACCTCTACAGGCTCAGCCAAGGGGAGTGGGTCTACCTGAGACACACCTGAAAGGGCAGGACCCTGAGGGGGGAGGGGGTCTACCGGAGGGGGACCTGGAGCGAGGAAAAGCGGCGGGGGAGGGAGAGGGGCAGTGCAGTAGGGGAAGAGACGGTAGAAAGGAACCGACTCGTCAAAGGTGACGTCCTGAGAGGGGAAGACACGGCGCGAGGTGGGGTGGTAAAACTGCCAGCCATGCGCGTCAGGGACAAAGCCAAGGAAGACACAGGGAATGGTGCGGGAGGAGAGCTTGTCCGCGGACGTATCGCGGACAAGGGCACGAGCACCCCAGACCCGGAACACCGACGCATCGCCAACCTCTCCCGTCCAACGCAGTGTGGGCGAGGTCTCCGGCAAGGAGACACGGGGCCAGAGGTTGAGCTGCTGCGTGGCGTACCGGACCGCAAACGGCCACAGAAAATGGGGAGCCGCCGCATGGATCAAGGAGGTACGAGCGATCTCCATGACCAAGCCAATGCGGCGCTCAGCAACCCCATTTTCTGTGGTGAGCCCGGAGGCGTGAATGACTGGAGGATGCCCTCCCCCTGACAGAAGGCCCGCAAGAGGTCGGAGGAGAACTCACCACCTCTGTCAGAGTGCAGACGCAGGACAGGGAGGTCCTGGCAGAACCTGC